CTGCCAAAAGAACCAACAGATCTGTGTTGGAAGAACTGCAGCCAGAGTGCTCCTTGGAGGCCAGGATGACCAAATTTTCGTCTCTCATATTTTGGACATATTGTCAGGAGGGACCAGTCGCTGGAGAAGGATATCATGTTTGGTAAAGTGGAGGGTCAGAGAAAAAGAGGAAGACCCCCAGCGAGATGGATTGGAAAAGTGGCAGCATCAATGGGCTCAAGTGTGGCAACAATTGTAAGGTTAGCCTAGGACTGGGCAGTGTTTTTTTCTGTTGTGCATAAGGTCACTATGAGTTGGTATTGACTCAATGGCCCCTAACAACAACAGATATGTTCACTATCTTGACTGAGTTAATGGTGTTTCAGGGACTCCTGGTGTGGCACAGTAGGATCAGCACTGGACTGCAACTCACAAGGTCAGCTGTTCAAACCCACCAGCTGTTCCTTGGAAACCCTATACAGGGTCGCTATGAGTCAGAACCGATTTGATCACATTTAACAACAACAGTGGTGTTTCAAGAGCACATGTGTATGTACAAAGCAGGGCTTTGAGCGGCTTCATTCCAGTTAAACCACTTGCTGAAAATTTGCCCTAGTGGATTTTGAGATGGGCTGCTCAGCAGTTCGAACCTACCAGTTGCTCCACAGGAGAAAGATAAGGCAGTCTGTTCCCGTGAAGATTTACAGCCTCAGAAACCCTACACAGGGTCGCTCTGAATGGGAACCAACTCCACTGCATACCACTGCCACCACCAACACTCTATGTATCCATAAAAATCACCCAGTAAGCTTGTTAAAATGTAATTCTGAGGTGGAAATGAAAATTCCCAGCATGGCGTCAAACCTGAACAAACGGGTTCAAAACCCTGTTCAAAATTTGTCAAATGGTATACTTTCACTGGTACAGTTTATGATACATCAATTATACTTCAATAAAGCCATTTTAAGCATATTTTCAGAATCATTCAAGAATAACTGTGATAAATGTGGTTTTATTGACAGACCCCTATACTTTGAGTCCTGGGGTCAGAATGTCGTGTGGCATAATGAAAAGAGTGGATTTTGCTTCAGGAAATCTTACTCAAATTCTGCTACAAATTCACTGTCCTTTCAAATTTCAGTGATTTTGTCTCTGATATGGAGAGTGTTACAGCTTGAGGACTAAGGTGTGCCTGACCCAAGCCATGGTATTTTCAGTAACTCATATGGATGCGAAAGCTGGACAGTGAATAAGGAAGATCACAGAAGAATTGATGCCTTTGAGTTGTGGTGTTGGAGGAGAATAGTGAAAGTGCCATGGACTGCCAAAAGAACCAATAGATCTGTTTTGGAAGAAGTGCAGCCAGAGTGCTCCTTGGAGGCCAGGATGGCTAAGCTTTGTCTCTCCTACTTTGGGCATATTGTCTGGAGGGAACAGTCGTTGGAGAAGGATGTCATGCTGGGTAAGGTGGAGGGTCAGAGAAAAAGAGGAAGACCCCCAGCGAGATGGACTGGCCAGGTGGTATCATTGATGGGCTCAAGTGTGGCAGTGGTGGTGAGGTTGGCCCAGGATCAGACATTGTTTCATTCTGCTGTGCATGGGGTTGCTATGAGTCGGTTCCGACTCGATGGCACCTGACAACAACAACATGGACTGTGTGATACTTCTGCTTATCTTATATAGTAATAAACCATTATTTGTCATACAACTAAGTATATTGTATGACATCACTTACTAATTTATTTCATACATAAGACCTACACTACTGATGTGTACTATCACAAAGATTATTTTAAATCTAAACTCAAAATGTACAATAGCCTTTTACATAGTATCCCCACACCCCCAAATAAGTGTCAGCTTGGCTGGGCCATGCTCTTGGTGGTTTGTAGTGACGTAATGTGGCAGTGATGTGACGATACCCTACGGTGTGAGCTGACGGGATAAACCAATAAGAAGATTAAGGGTGGGCTGCAATACTTTCAGTCCCATCACAACCTTGATCTGATGTAAGGGAATTTCCCAGGGGTGTGGCCTGCAACACCTTTCATCTTATAAGAGATAAAAAGAGAGAAGTAAGCACAGAAAGGGGGACTGGAATCCTGGTGTGGTATTGCTAACTGCAAGGTTAGTGGTTCAAACCCACCAGCTACTCCTTGGAAATCCTATGCAGGGGTGCTATGAATCAGAACGGACTCAATGGAACTTAACCACAACAACAACACCACTACCACCAAGAAGGAAGAGCCAGAAATGGAGTGTAGCCTTTGGACCTGTGAAGTTTCCAGATGCAGAGACAGACTGATGCCAAGACCCAGGGAGGTCGCCGAGGAATGCTGGCCAGAGACAAGGACCTTTCCCCAGAGCCAGCGCTCTGAATTTGGACTTCTTGTCTCTTTAACTGTGAGAAAAATTTGTTTGTTAAGTCCATCTATTTATGGCATTTCTGTAATAGCAACACTAGATAATTAAAGTACATGGTAATAAGGTTTGAAAACATGCTTATTTAACAAATAATTTAGTGTGAGAAATTGAAAACCATGAATAATTGTTTTCCCAACATGAAAAACAATATCTAACAATGTTATAGAATGTTTAGAGGCTCAACAGATTAAAAACTTTTACAAATGTTGTTGTTAAGTGCCATCAAGTCAATTCTGACCCATAGCGACCCTGAATAGGGTTTCCAAGGAGAAGCTGGTAGGTTTGAACTGTTGACCATATGGTTTACTGTGCTGATAAAAAGCTATTACTGATCTGATGTAAGGGAATTTCCCAGGGGTGTGGAAAATTGTTCAAACAGAACATGGGAACACTGAATGGTTTAAATTTAAGAAAGATGTGTGACAGGCTTGTATTCTTTCACCATAATCATTCAACCTCTATGCTGAGCAAATAATCCGAGAAGCTGGGTTCTATGAAGAAAAACATGACATCAGGATTGGAGGAAGACTCATTAACGACCTATGATATGCAGATGATACAACCTTGCTTGCTGAAAGTGAAGAGGACTTAAAACATTTACTGATGAAGATCAAAGAGCACAACCTTCGATATGGATTGTATCTCAATGTAAAGAAAACCAAAATCCTCACCACTGGACCAATAAACAACATTCTTATCAATGGAGAAAAGATTGAACTTGTCAAGGATTACATTCTTTTTGGATCAACTATCAACACTCATGGAAGCAACAGACAAGAAATCAAATGACGTACTGCATTAGGCAAATTTGCTGCACAAGATCTTTTTAAAGTCTTGAAAAGTAAAAATGTCAGCTTGAGGACTAAGGTGTGCCTGACCCAAGCCATGGTATTTTCAATCACCTCATATGCATGCAAAAGCTCGACAGTGAATAAGGAAGATCGTAGAAGAATTGATGCATTTGTGTTATGGTGCTGGAGGAGAATATTGAAAGAATCATGGGCTGCCAAAAGAACCAACAGATCTGTGTTGGAAGACATGCAGCGAAAGTGCTCCTTGGAAGCCAGGATGGCCAGACTTCTTCTCTCATACTTCGGACATGTTGTCAGGAGGGACCAGTCACTGGAGAAGGATATCATGTTTGGTAAGGTGGAGGTTCAGAGACAAAGAGGAAGACCTCCAGCGAGATGGATTGGCCAAGTGGCAGCATCAATGGGCTCAAGCGTGGAAACAATTGTGAAGTTGGCCGAGGACCGGACAGTGTTTCATTCTGTTGTCCGTAGGGTTGCTATGAGTCGGTACCCACTCGATGGCACCTAACAACAACATAACTATGTTTTATGTCTGTGTGTCTAAAATAGTATTTTAGTACTGGTACTTCAAAAGACCCTCAGATTGAGTGGGGTTCTTAATATTCATTTAAATGTAATACTTACTGAATGCCTACAGATGTAGACGCTGAGGAGCCGAAGGTGGATGAGTTAAATCTTTAAAGCCCTTGGGTAAGGAATGTAAGACTCAGAGACGTTAAGTAAGGAGCCCTGGTGGCACAATTGGTTACCTCAAGGTCAGCAGTTCGAATCCATCAGCCACTCCACAGCAGAAGGATGAGGCTTTCTGCTCCCATAAAAATTTACAGCCTCTGAAACCCTATATAGGGTTCACTATGATTCAGAACCAACTTGACGGCACATAATCAACACCACCACCAGTAAACAAGAGAACTGGCATTTGAGTTCGGGTGTGCCAGGTTCCAAAGTTGGCTCTCTTCACTACGCTGCCAAAACTGGTTAAAAATCACAAAAGCACCTGATGAGCAAATCACCCCACTACTCGCCTGTCCATTTCTCATCCTGGGGTGACTTGTGTGTTACTGTGATGCTGGAAGCTAAGACATAGGCATCTCAAAATCAGTATGGTCATCCATGGTGGACAGGGATAAGTAGAGCTTCCAGATTAAGACGGACTGTTTGTTGTTAAGTGCCGTCAAGTCGGTTCTGACACAGCCACCCTGTCTAGGGTTCCCAAGGAGCTGCTGGTGGGTTTGAACCACCGACCTTGCAGTTAGTTACCAGTGCAGTGCTGATCCTAGAGTGCCACTGCAGGCCTCTAACACAGACTAGGAAGAAGGAATGGGTGGTCCACTTCTGAAGGATATGTCCCTGAAAACCTTAGGAGCTCCTCAGAACATAATAAATCACATATGACTTCATTTTAGTATTTGGTTAGTACAGGAGGAAAAAAACTGGTAGGAAAAGGAACATGACCAAGATTACAAAGTGAAACTTAGAAATTCCCTACAGTCCACATTAAAGATCATACATACATCTGTCCCGTAGATGAGGAAATCGCTGGTTAAGGCATGACACAAAATCCGACACTTATCATCCACTGCTGGGAAAAGGCGAGTCTCACGTTCTTCTTGAGCATCCAAAATTTCACTTTCTATCTAAAACATGAAACGTAACATGGACTTGGAGATTTAAAGTCATTTTACTTTTTATTGGCACAAACACAATTTGCAATACCAGCCTGGGGTTGAGGGCAGCTGTCTTTTTCTTAAGTTCAATGACAAATCATTATCTCTTGAACAATTTAACAGGCAGAGATTGTAGGATCCCAATAAGCAACATGCCCAGAAGCACAAAGTCATGGTGGCCCCATTACTTATTTATAGTTCATTTACAACTCCTTGGACTCCTAGTGTGGCACTGTAGGGTCAGCATTGGACTGTGAACCACAAGGTTAATGGTTCAAACCCAGCAGCTGCTCCTGGGAAACCCTACGCAGGGTTGCTCCAAGTTGCAATCGAGTGGATGGCACTTCACAACAACTCATTAGCGTCATGTTTGCTATAAGCAATGTTGTGAGTAACGCAGTTGACACTGTATCAGGTTTCCTTGAGGAAGAGAACTAAGTAATTAACCAACCACGTGATTCTGATAAAGAAAGGGGCTAGTTTTGTTAACCCTTGGCCACGACCAGCTTTTTCTCTAGTCTGCAATGGCCTCCTGACCAAAAGTTCTTGGTAATTAGGCATTAGGCTGTTTGTCATCATTATTTAACTTAACAGGTCCTTGCTGATGCTGTTGTTACCTGCCCTGAGTTGACTTCGGCTCAAAGCGAGTGCATGGTGCAGAGCAGAACCCCCCACAGGGATTTCCAGCCTGTGACCTTTAGCAAGCAAACTGCCTGGCCCATCTTTGTAGGTTCCTCTGGGTGGGTTCAAACTGCCAGTGTTTGGTTTGTAGTTGAGTGTTTCACCATTTGCATCATCAAGCCACCCAGGAGACCCTGATACTCACCAAGTGTAACTGGACTTTGCCCTCAAATAGTGCAGCAGCGTAGTCCGAATGAAGGCACACACTGGTGACTGTTCCCAAATATTCCACATCTTTCAATTTCCTCACAGCTGTAATTGTAAAAGCCAACATATGAATATAAAATTATCTTGTATAAAGACTTTCAAATACTTTTAAAATGTATGCTTTTGCAAGGATATTCTGACCGAACCATTCTTAAAAAACAATTATGTGCCATATAAATTTGCCTTCAGAAATTTCCAAATGGTTGACAGTTATAAAAAAATAAAATCACATGCATAAACAAGAAGGATTAAATCTTAGTGACAAGAAATTTAACAGTGTTCTCTAATTAGCACGTTAATCTCAGGCTTGCTGTAATACTGACAGATATTGACACTGGTGGCACAGCAGTTAAGCATTCAACCTTTGACTGAAAAAGGTTGTTGGTTCAAACCACCAGCCCCTCTGTGGGAGGACGATGTGGCAGTCTGCTTCTGTAATGATTTACAGGCTGGGAAACCCTACTGGGTAGTTTTACTCTGTCCAATAGGGTTGCCAGGGATTGGAATTGACTCAGGAGCAGTGGGTTTGGGGGAAAAGATGGGGAGGGAGATGAAGGAAAGAGCATGGCTCTCGTCTGTCACATGCTTTTATTCAAAGAATGAAGGGGAAGGGAGAACTACGATTTATTATGTTCCAACCAGACTGAGGAGCACTCAACACAATCAGTTGCTGAATTTCATTTCATTAGTCTTCCTCATGGTTCTTTAAACATGGAAGTATGCTCATTTTCCAGGTGAAAAAAATCACAGCTGAGCGTATTCCTCTGCAGTCCCTTAGCACAAAGAAGTAGGGCAGGGTTTGAACCCAGGCTGCACTGACTCTTAAATTCCTATCTGACTACTAAGCTAAATTGTCTTCACTACAAAGATGAAGAATAAAACCTTTTCCAAAATGATGCAAATTATTTAGAAGTTTCACTGAACAATTAAGTGAATTGATATCTGAACCCAAAAGAGCAAACAATTTTTCCTCAGTAGTAATTCAAATTGCAGTAGTAAATCAAAAAGACTTTGCATCGTTTCCCATAGAAACAGGAATTACATGCTAGATAAGGAGACCGCTGAATTGACACTTACCATTCTCTCCAAGGAAATAAAACCAAGCTCGATTATTCATCCCCACAGCCAGATGGTAGAGACCTACTGCCACAAAGTTGGGTTCCACATCAACAGAAACTGTGATTGGTAGCTCCTATCATAGAGAAAAGTAACAACAGTAAATCAACCACTACAGCTATTTTGATTGTTATTACTCATAAATGAAATCATAACACTGTAATTTCCATACTCCTTCCACATGGTTGGTTACAGTGACTTCCAGGAGGGAGGTGAGGTAGGCGATCCTTGTGTCGCAGGCCCCCCCGAGGATGGGAAGCTTGGTCAGGAAGACGTGCAGTGAGCCCCTTTGGGTAGACAATGCCAGTAACTGACCATCATCTGTCCAAGACATTGTGTCCAACCCTGAAATAATGAACAAAATAAATGACTATTCAAAACCAAATACACTACTGCAGGCAAGTAAGCAAGAAAATATTTTTGTTCTTTTTATTGTGAATTAAGTGAAGGTTTACAGATGAGATCATCAGTTTTACATTCAACAAATAATACATTTTGGTTCACCTCCATGATTGTAATCCTCTCCATGGAACGACCATTATTCTGTTCCTCCCCGTTTCTTCCCTGTGGCTCCTATTTCCATTCCCACCCACTGTCCCATCCCTTCTAAACTTTGTCCTTCTGCACATGTTGCCCTGTTGAGTTTGAATGAGTGACTGTTGCAGCATTCATCGTGAGCATGTCTTAACAGTGTTGTTGTCACCTCTATTTACCCATCTAATGCTTGAGTGTTCTCCTATCTACCTATCTACTGCTTGGTGGAAAGAGTGTGTTCCTTTCCAGACCTGAAGGGTGGTGGAAGGCCACAGTCTTGGGTTCCTATAGTTTCTTTCTTATGAGTAAACCCTGTCGTTATTTTTTAATGATTTTGAGTTTTGTTCTACACATTATGCCATTCTCTCCAAGACCTTCTAATGTGATCCCGTTCAGAGCAGTTGGTAGTGGTAGCTGGGCACCATCTAGTTTTTCTGGTCTCATAGTTCTGGAGACTGCTGTGTAAGAAAATATTTTCATTTAAGCTAGCAGAGATATGTTGTTGTTGTTGTTAAGTGCCGTCGAGTCGGTTCCGACCCATAGCGACCCTGTACAGGGTTTCCGAGGGTGTAAATCCTTACGGGAGTAGAAAGCCTCATCTTTCTCCCGCGGAACGGCTGGTAGTTTCGAACCGCTGACCTTAAGGTTCAAATATCTTCAAATGAGTACTTTAATACATAGTTCCAACAACGTTTATAATAGTAAAGTCATCTGAGATGAATGAGCACTGACAAATTAAAAACAGACTCAAAGGGAAAATACAAAAGCATTTACATTTTACAAGTGAAATTAGGATAAAATTCACTAAAAATCTCTGGATGGAAGTAGACTTACATACTTCTAGTCAAATAGTATGACTCAATATAATGACTAAAACAGGAGGCTACAGGTAACTCTTTTGTTGTTAGGTGTCATTCAGTCAGTACCAGCTCATAGTCACATTACGGCACAACAGAACACAGAACAAAACACTGCCTGGTCCTACACCAACCTCACACAATCATTGCCACACTTGAGCCCCTTGCTGCTCCCACTGTGTCAATCCATCTCATTTGGGTCTTCCTCTTTTGGGCTAACCTGCCACTTTAGCAAGCATGATGTCCTTTTCCAGGGATTTGTTCCTCCTGATAATATGTCCAAAGACAAAGTCTGGCCATCCTGGCTTCTAAGGAGCATTCTGGCTGTACTTCTTCCAAGACAGATTGCTTGTTCTTAAAGCATTCCATGGTACTTTTAGTATTCTTCTACAACACTATAAAACAAATGTATCAATTCTTCTACTGTCTCCCTTATTCATCACCCAACTTTCACATGCATATGAGGTTATTAAAAATGCAGTAATTTGGGTCAGATACACCATCAGTCCTCAAACATAAGTCTATTCTCTTGAACACTTCAAAAAGGTCTCATGCAGCAGATCTGTCTAATGCAATAATATATTGTTGGGTTTCCTGGCTGCTGGTTCCAGGAATGTTGATGACTGATCCAAGCAAAATGAAGTCTATGACAACTTCAAAGACTTGAATAACGTATCTTGAAGTTATTTATTGGTCCAGTGGTGAGCATTTTTGTTTTCTTTACATTAGGGTGCAACCCATAATGAAGGTTGTGGACTTTGATGTTCATCAGTAAATATTTTAAGCCCTCTTCACTTTCAGCAAGCAAGGTTGTATCATCTGTACATCGCAGGTTGTTGATGAGTCTTACTTCAATCCTGATGTCACGTTCTTCTTTTATATAATTGAAATTCTTGGGTTACGTGTTCAGCATACAGAATGAATAAGTATGGTGAAACACTACAACCCTGGCATACACCTTCCCTAATTTTAAACCATTCAGTGTTCCCTTTTTCTGTTCAAACAACTGCCTCTTGGTCTATGTACAGGTTGCTTATGAGCATAATTAAGTGTTCTAGAATACTCATTCCCTGCAATGTTGTCTATAGATTGTCATGATCCACACAATTGAAAGCCTTTGTGTAGTCAAAAAAGCACAGGTAATGCCTGAGTGTTTTTTTGTTTGTTTTTAAAAAGTTTAAGTGGATAGAGAGAAATACTGTTAACTGATGGTACATGGAGGGGATTATAATCATTGTAATGAAACAAGGTGTATCATTTGTTGAATATAAAACTGGTGATATGCCCTGTAAACTTTCACTCAATCCATAATAAAAACCTTAAATAAAAAGAAAAGGAAAAAAAAAAAGCACAGGTAAACATCTTTCTGGTATTGTCTGCTTTCAGCCAAGCTCCATCTCATGTCAGCAGTGATATGCCTCATCCCAAGTCCTTGTCTGAATCCAGCTTGAACCTCTGGCAGTTCCCTGATAATGTACTGCTGCATCTGTTTTTTAATTATAGTTAGCAAAATTTTACTTGCATGTGATATTAATGATATTGTCTAATGATTTCCTCATTCCATTGAATCAGCTCTCTTTGGAATGGAAAAAAATATGGATGTCTTCCAAACAGCTCTCCAGGTAGCTGTCTTCCAAATTTCTTGGATAGATGAGTAAGTGCCTCCAATGCCACATCAGTGTGTTGAAAGATTTCAATATGTATTCCATCAATTCCTGGAGCTTGGCATTTACAAATGCCTTCAGTGCCCCTTGGAGTTCGTGTTGTTGTTAAGTACCATCGAGTGATCCTGTATGGGGTTTCTGAGGAGCAGTTGGTATGGAACTGCCAGCCTCATGGTTTGTAGTCCAACGCTGATCCTACAGTGCCACACTAGGAGTCCATTTTGCCCATTTGTTGTTAGGTGACATCAAGTCAGTACTGATTCATAGCGACCTTATGCACAGTAGAATGAAACACTGCCTGATCCTGGGCCAACTTCACAATTGTTGCCATGCTTGAGTCCATTGTTGCTGCCACTTGGACAATCTATCTTGCTGGGGTCTTCCTCTTTTTCTCTGACCCTCCACCTTACCAAACATGATATCCTTCTCCAGTGACTGCTCCCTCCTGACAATATGTCCGAAGTATGAGAGACGAAGTTTGGCCATCTTGGCCTCCAAGGAGCACTTTGGCTGCATTTCTTCCAACACAGATCTGTTGGTTCTTTTGGCGGCCCATGGCACTTTCAATATTCTCCTCCAACTCCATAATGCAAAAGCATCAATTTTTCTATGGTCTTCCTTATTCACTGTCCAGCTTTCGCATGCATATGAGGTTATTGAAAATACCATGGCTTGGGTCAGGCGCACCTTAGTCATCAAGCTGACATCTTGCAAGTTGAGGCTTAAAGTTTTTCTTCAATTTGCTCAGCTTGAGAAATGCTAAGCATGTTGTTTCATTTTGGTTTTCTAACTCCAGGTCTTTGCACATTTCATTATAATATTTGGCTTTGTCTTCTAGAGCTGACCTTTGAAATTTTCTATTCATCTCTTGTACCTCCTCATTTCTCCCATTTGCTTTAGCATCTCTACGCTGTAAAGCAAGTTTCACAGTCTCTTCTGATATCCATTTTGATCTTTTCCTTCTTTCTTGTTAATGATCTTTTGACTTCTTCCTGTAAAATGTTTTACGTCATCCCACAATTCTTCTGATTTTCAGTGTTTAGTGTCTAACACATCAAATCAGTTCAGATGATGTCTAAATTCAGGTGGCATATGATCAAGGTCATATTTTGGCTCTTCTAGATTTGTTTTAATTTTCTTCAGCTTCAGCCTGAACTTGCATACGAGCAGTTGATTCCACAGTCTGCCCCTGGCCTTGTTTTGGCTAATGATGTGGAGCTTTTCCATTGTGTCTTTCCACAGATGTAGTCAATTTGATATCTGTGTAGTTCATCTGTTAGGTGCAGATGTATAATTGTCTTTTATGTTGTTTAAAAAGGGTGTTTGCAATGAAGAAATCATTGGTCTTGCAAAATTTTATCAATCTTCAGCATCGTTTCTGTCACCAGGGCCATATTTTCCAACTACTGATCCTTCCTCTTTGTTTCCAACTTTTATATTCCAATCACCAGTAGTTATCAATACATCTTGATTACATGCTTGATCGATTTCAGACTGAAAAGTTGGTAGTTTTCTTCAATTTCATCATCACTGGCTTTACTGGTTGACGCATAAATTTTAATAATAGTGGTATTAACTGGGCTTCCTTGTTTTGTTGTTGTTTAGTGCCATCGAATCAGTTGTGACCCATAGCAACCCTGTATAGGGTTTCCGAGGAGCAGCTGATGAGCTTGAACCACCGAACTGCAGTTCAAACATCTTTGCAGTCTGGCGAATTAGCCCACAGTGCCACACCAGGACTCCAGTGCATGAATATTATCCTATCACAGATAAAATTATACTTCAAGATACATCTTGGTATGTTCTCTTTGATGATGAATGCACGGCATTCCTTTTCAATTTGTCATTCTAGGCATAGTAAGCCATGTGCTTATCAGATTGAAAACGGCCAATACCAGACCATTTCAGCTCACTAATGCCTAGGATATCGAGGTATGCATTCCATCTCATTTCTGACAACTTTCAATTTTCCTATATTCATGCTTTGTACATCCATGTTGCCATTATTAATGGATGCTTACAGCTGTTTCTCCTCATTTTGAGTTGTGCCCATCAGCAAATGAAGGTCCTGAAGGCTTTAGCCTATTTGTGTCATCACAGTCAACTATTTTGAGAGGCAGCTCTTCCCCAGTTGCATTTTGAGTGCCCTCCAATCTGAAGGGCTCATTTTCCGGCACTCTATCTGACAATACTCTGGTGCTCTTCATCATGTTTCAATAGTCAATATTCTGGTGCTGACTGTTCTGCTGTTATTCATAAGACTTCCTGTGATTAAATATTCAAAAGTAGTCAGTTTCTCCTTTCCTAGTCTGTCTTCATCTGGAAGGTCAGCTGAAACCTACCCACTGTGGGTGATCCTGATGGTATTTAAAGTTTCCGTGACATAGCTTCCAGAATCACAGCAACACACAAACCACCAGAGTATGGCAAACTGACAGCCAAGTGGTGGCAGGTACCTTTACTGAAGGATATTAATTTTATTCCTCTTACAATGAATGTAAACCAGACAGCAAACACAACAGTACTTTCTGAAATGGAAAAGATAAAATATCAATATGCTTCAGATAAAGCAATACCTTTATTTTCGTCATCCAGGTTGATTATTGCATACATGTCTTTTAATTCTGCCAGGTCATGGATTTTAATGCTGCAATAAAGATCAACACATTTAGTAAATATGAACTGCAAGTTCATTTTTAAGTCATATTTGAGTTCATAAAAATAAATTATACAACAGGTTATTTGTCTCCAAAATGGAGTGTACAGGATAATCTACTGGGTTAAAATGAGAAAATATTACTTTCTTAAAAAAATTAACCATATAGAGAATATATTTTTAAACTACTATTATTAAACACCATGAAACTATGATATTGGCACAAGTACTTACAAGCATGCAAATTAATAACTTAATATATGACAAAGGAAATGTAAGAAATCTATGAGGAAATGCCTAATAATTTCAAGAAATTATGCTGAGAAAAAGAACTCTTTGCAAAAAAAAATTACATTCACTTAGCAACATACACCTAAGTAAATTTCAGACTTAAAAATGTAAATGTAAAACAAAACTAGACAAAACCATGGAGAAATAGGTGTGAACAGTTAACGAATCTTTAGCTATTAATCTATTTTCTGTTTCAGATGTTATCAACCTTCCATTCCTGGAGAAAAGTCTCACTTGGTCATAATATATTATAATTTTCTATATAGTGTTAGCTTTCATTTGCAAAAATAGTAATAATTTTTGTATCTAAATTCTTGAGTGAAATTGCTCTGTAGTTTTCTTGGGGCATTTCTTTTCACTTTTGGTGTAGAGATGCTGACCTCTTAAAATGATCTGGTAGTGTTCCTCCTTTATTTTTTAAAAAAAATTTATATAGAACTGATATTATTTGTTTCTCGAAGTGGCTGGTAAAACTAGAACTTTTACATTTCATCTTTTAAATCATTCTGTTCCTTTGTGACACATCTAATCCTTTGATCTACAGCTTCAGGAACAAGGAACAAGGTTAATGCTCTGAAGGGAAGCTTGAGTAGAAAATCATTCTCCTGAGCTGGAGCAATGTTAATAATTGTAAGATGATGATACAGGTTTTTCTTTGCAATGTTTTTTCTCCCTAAAGAGTTCCTTCATCCAAAAAGAAATGAGGCATAACAGAAAGAACATTAGCTCTGACAAATGTGTGCAAAATATTACTTCATAGGCTTGTTGGGAAGAATAAGGAGGTTAATACAAATGAAAGTTTGTAGTACAATGTTGAGAACTAATAGTTGTAACATTTCTTTCTTCCCTCCTATTATTTTCCCTTTAAATTTTTTTCTCATTGTTCTTATTTAATTGAATTTTAAATTTTGAGATGATTGTAGACTCACATGCAGTTTTAACTCTCTACTCAGTTTCCTTCAATAATAACATCCTTAGATGTTATTATTGTAAAGTGCTGTTGAGTCGCTTCTGACTCAGAGACCCTGTATAGGGTTTCCAAGGGGCAGCTGGTGGGTTTGAACTGCTGACCTTGTGGTTTGCAGTCCAATGCTCATACTACAGTGTCATAACAGGAATCCTTAAAAGTCACAGTGCAATATATAAACCTGGAAAATGATACAATCTACCAACCTTAATCAGATTTCTCATTTTACTTGTGAGTTTCTTGTTCTGTATTTTCTATGTGATTTTATTACATACTAGTTTTCATCCTTGTGACACCCTAATAAACACACCCACCTCCCTCCTTACCCTATACGCTATCCTCATCTGTAACCCCTGGCCAACACTAATCTGTTCTCTGTCTCTATAATCTTGTCATTTCCCTGGAGAAGGAAACCATTTTGGTAAAACATGGAAAACAGGAGGACACCCAATGAGCAGGACTGTCACAGTGGCTGCAACAATGGACTCAAATACAAGAATGTCTGTGAGGACGATGCAGCACTGGGCACTGGTTCTTTCTGTTGTATAAAGGGTTGCTATGAGTTGGAACCAACAATAATATAAAGGGACTCACACACTATGCAACATTTTGGGATTGGATTTTTTTCACTCAGCATAATTCTTTGGAGATTCACTCAAGTTGTTGTATGTATCAAAAGGGTTTTTTTTGTTTTTTGCTGAGTTATATAGTCTATGGTATAGATGTACCACAGATGAAGGGAATATGAATTAATTCCAATTTTTAAATATTATAAATGAAATTGCTATACACATTCTTAGGCTTTTTTCATTTCTTGGGGATAAATGCCTAGGAATACAATTGGTGGGTTATATGACAATTGCATGTCTTAGTTTTAAAAAGAAACTGTTTTCTACCACAGTTGTTGCTAAGTGCAGTCGAGTCAATTCTGACCCCATAGTGACCCCGTATAGGGTTTCCGAGGAGCAGCTAGTGGGCTTGAACTGCTGACCTTGCAGTTCAAACATTTTTGCAGTTCAGCGCATTAACCCACAGTGCCACACTGGGACTCTGTCTACCACGGTAGCTGTACTATTTTCTATTCCTATCAGTAATGTATGAGTGATTCAGTTTCTCTGCATTCTCACCATTTATTCTTATCA